GAACACTGGTATTCCATGGTTTTCCGTCATTTTTAAAATCAATTTTTAGACTTCTATTATTCGTTTTCTTCTTACTTAACTACGGACTTCCGCTACCATAAAGGATTATTTGCTGGGATCGTTAATTAGATTGAGATAATACACAAGCTTCGAGATAACTTTCCTTATATATTTTAATAAGATAGCTTTTCTTCTCTACATGTTCGTGCCGCCATATAGAGCCTTCTCTTTGCTTTACTAAAGAAGAACATAGAATAGAATACATATAGATAGAATACTCGCTACGCTCTTTACAACTCTATAGATGGCGTCGCATATCCATCACCTCTAATATAAATGTACATACTCATACTTCAACAGTATTTACAATTATTTACAAAGGTTCCTTTCAGGCGGAATGCCGTGAGCGCGCACAGAGTTTAGCACGGCAAAAGCGGCGAAAAAGCTGTTAAGCAAGCGAGTGCGAAAAGACGGTGATAAGCGGTGTGCGGTCGTACAAAATACTAGGCGGGTGATGTGCGAGCGAAATCGATTCCGCGGCGCAACGGCGGTCTTTATATCACCTCCGAGGCGAACCTCCCTCCAGGCAGATTTCCAAGAATTTCGGGAGAGTGATTGGCCATTGGAGCCCTACGTTATCGTACTGACGTCACCGTTTTCACGTGACGACCCGAAGGGATCGTCACATGTTTTCGTTGGCTTTGTATATATCATGGATCTTTTCTTTGTATGCTTGACTTTATTTGTGCGATCGGTCAGCCGTGGCTGTGTTGTTGTTAATAACGAACTTTCCGGAATGCGAAAGATGAAAAGATCCATGCTATACTGAATATTGACGTGACTAATTTGAGGCGAAATTTTAGGCGCATATTTTATTGAAGGCGTGCTCGCGCTGACACGCAACCGAGCGCGGTTTTCGTGATGCGGTTATCACGATCTCAAACACATTGAAAACAATTGCAATATGAGAGTTTTGCGCTCTGGTCTATAAAAAGGGAAGATGGTAATTTACAAGATGAAGAATGACCAAGGAGAGATTACTGTAGAGAAGAACGAGATCACGGAGATCATCCAAAACTTCTCCCAAAGACACAATCAGTCAATTCCACCTCCAGATCAGCGGAAAGAAAAACAAAAAAGAAAAACAGATAGTCCGAAATGTAGGATCCGAAGAGCTAAAAGCGATTAACGGGTCAGAACTGAGAGCAGCGCTGAACCAACTGAGAAACTGCAAAGCGCCAGGAGAGGATCAGATCACAAGCGAAATGCTCAAAATCGGTAGAGAGACACTAGAAAATGCAATTCTGGCACTCTTGAACAAGTGTCTCAAGGAAGGCAAAATCCCGGACACATGGCAGAACGCCGAGGTCATCCTGCTTTTCAAGAAAGGCGACCGTGCAAACATGGAGAACTGCAGACCCATCAGTCTGCTCTCCATATTCTACAAGCTGTTGACCAAAATTATAACTAAGCGGCTTACCCAGAAATTCGATTTTTACCAGCCTATCGAACAAGCTGGATTTAGGAAAGGATTCAGCATGACTGACCACATACAAGCGTTGCGCACATTGATCGAGAAGTGTAATGAGTACAACATTCCGCTACACCTGTCATTTGTGGACTATCAAAAAGCCTTTGACTTGATCGAAACTTGGGCGGTGCTTGAAGCGATGGATAAGGCTCGCATCGACTCCAGGTATTCAAGCCTAAACAAATACATCTACAAAAATGCTACGTTACGAGTCAAAATGGAGGAAAACTGGCTGACAGGAAAAGTCAAAATCAAGAGAAGTGTCTGACAGGGCGACACCATCTCGCCCAAACTCTTCATCTTGGCACTGGAGGACGTATTCAAAAGCATGTCCTAGGAGCAAAAAAGTATCAGTATCAACGGGAATCGCCTCAACCACTTCCGCTTTGCTGATGATATCGTCCTCATGCGCATCATCAGCGGTGACGCGGGCGAACTTGAAATAATGCTGCAAAAATTAAAAGAAGCCTCCCAAGCAGTAGGTCTGAAAATAAACCTACAAAAAACAAAAATCATGAGCCCAAACAACATACAGGTTGTCATTGACAATCACACCCTCGGAAAAGTGGATGAATACGTGTATTTAGGACACAATATCAATACATTAATGAAAAATTAAATTTTCCGTACCTACAGTTTCAAGAAAATCAATACATTAATGAAAAATTAAACTCATCGCCACTATCCCCAAAAAATTTTAAAAATTTTGGCACCATTTTAAGAAAATCAATCCATTACTGAAAAATTAAACCCATCCCTGAAAAATTCGAAACGTTTTGATATCAGTTTTAAGAAAATCGGTACATTAATAAAAAATGAAACCCATATGAAAAATTATACACATCATCGCCATCTCTGGAAAATTAGAAAAATTTTGGTACCGGTTTGAAGAAAATCAGTCCATTAATGAATAAGTAGTTTACGGTCGGACATTAAATGCTTCTTATTTTCCGAAAAATTACGTATTATTTCCCAAAAAATTAGACAAATTTTGATACCGGTTTCCAACAAAAACGGAAACGAAAAATTATACACATCATGGCAATTTCCCGAAAAATTCTACCCCTACTTTCTATATAATTTTTTAAAATTCGGTCCGTCCTCAAAAAATTAGAAAAATGTTTGCACCGGTTTCAAGAAAATCGGTCTATCAATGAATGAGTAGCTCGCTGTCGGACATTAGATACTTATTTCTCTAAAACTTACGTATTATTTCTTGAGAAATTAGAAAAATTTCTGAACCGGTTTCCAAAAGATCGGTAACGAAAAATTATACACATCAGGGCAATTCCCGGGAAATTCTACTCCTACTTCATATACAATTTTTTGAGATTCGGTCAATTATTTCTTGGAAAATTGGAAAAATCAGAGCAATCACGTACATTTTTTAAACAGAAATCGGAAACCCCTTTATTATTAACCATTTTTCTAATTCTATTACATTTTTTAGTTCTTTCTATTTCTATTTCATATATAATTCTTTAAGATTCGGTCAATTAATTCCCGAAAAATTGAAAATTTTGGTACCAGCTTCCAAAAAATCGGTAACGAAAAATTATACACTTTATAGCAATTCCCTGAAAATTCTATCCCTGTTTTATATATAATTCCTTAAAATTCAACCCATTAACGAATGAGTAGTTCGCAGTCAGACAGACAGACAATTTGAGGAAATTAGAGCAATCACGTACATTTATTTAAACAAAAATCGGAAACCCCTTTATTATTAACAGTTTTTCTAATTACATTCTTTAGTTCTTTCTACCCCTATTTCATATATAATTCTTTAAGATTTGGTCAATTAATTCCCAAATGTTGCCATCTCCCACTTGGCAAATTCCAGATGGAAAAATTGGAAACATTTTGGCTTCCAAAAAATCGGTAACAAAAAATTATACACTTTATGGCAATCCCCGGGAAATTCTACTCCTACTTCATATACAATTCTTTGAGATTCGGTCAATTATTTCTTGGAAAATTGGAAAAATTTCGTAACCGGTTACCAAAAAATTGGTAACGTAAAATTATATACTTTATAGTAATTGCCGGGAAATTCTACCCCTACTTCACATACAATACTTTGAAATTCAGTCCATTAACGAATGAGTAGTTCGCGGTCAGACAGATAGACAGACGTCAGGTACTTATAATAATAGATATTAATAGATGGTTATATGTCCGCTCCTGATAATATTACATGAATATTATATAAAATAATATTATTTAATGTTATTGTTGCATCCTTTAAGGGGATGCTGGAGCCGTCTGTTTTACCGGCATTTTTTGTCGGCACGTAGCGTCGTATTAATTTGACAGAATTAAAAATCCTTCTCCAGAATTGCAGTACATACATTAATGATTCGGGGAAACTCCGATTTTATATAGAAAACGAGAAAAAATTACGGAAGTACAGATTTCCTTATCCTACTCTTATCCCAATATGGCGTCTCGAGTTGCGGCGAGCTGTCAGCTCGTCACAAGATGTATTTCATATAAGAGATATACCATTGGTACGAACGCGAAAACAAGTTCCCCCGAATTGCACAACAAGAAAAACATCGATAAACCCTCCAAATCAAGATTTGGAAGCGTAATATAAAAGTATAATGTCGGTGTGCATCGTGCGTATGTGTGCGTGCAATGTAGCGTGCTATCCTTGTCTATATCTTTGTCTATACAAGGACAGATATAGTTCGCCGGTCTTCTTTACCGACGCCGATCGAGTTCGGCTACGGCTCCAGCATCCCCTTAATGATTAAAGACGGAGTAAGCAACAATATATATATTTCTGTTTGAGTACAATCGTATGGATGTGCACGTTACAAGAAGAGTACCACGTCAGGAGGAAGACAAGATGTCCGCAGCTGTCTGGATGCGCGAAGTCCTGCGTCAGACGCGCTCTTACAGCTCGACCGGAGCGTGCTGCCTTAGTGGCAGCAAACCGTACTTGGATATATATCATCTCTTCCCCCTTAGAATAGTTCTAGGATTCGCGTCATTTTCCAGCCTAGAACTTAAATAGATATATTTTCGTTAAAGGAAATAACGATTAATCATCATGGCAACCCCTCGTGAACGCTTGTTTCGAGTAGACTTTTTCGGTAGCGATTTCGGCTCCCTTCAAAACACATTTTCTCTTTGGTCTTGCACGGCGTAACCGTTCCTCTTCCGCCTTGTCTGCCGCTTCTCCATCTAAAGTTTGGCCGACTTCTTCTCCTGGGCAATGTGTTGTCTCGGAGTCAAAGAAAGGCACACAAATCTTTGCAGCAGGTAATTCGACCAGTTGATCCACGTCCCTTTTGTGCATTAGACCGGTGTCTATTTTTTTTACAATGTACGTACGTTTTCCTAAACGTTTCTCAATTATAGCAGTTGTCCCACTTAGGACTCGTAGCTCTGTAATTTCTCATCCGGATCTTTGTGTCCAATGGAATAGTTTGGATTCGCAAATAAGACTCTGCTTCATCTTCTATTTCTTCATCCTTCGCCTCATTTTGTCCAACGCCGTTCTTAGTCTGCGGTTAAACATTTCTTCCGCCGGACTTTTTCCTGATGAGGACGATGGCATAGTATGGTGTTTTAGAAGAAATCGGGTTATTTTTACTTCCCAATCTCCGTCGGTTAATCTTTTTAGCGATCTTTTTGTAGTTTGTACCATTCTCTCCGCCTGTCCGTTTGCCTGCGGGTTATATGCTGCGGTGTGCAACCATTTAGTGCCGTTTTTTGAGTAAAAATCTCTTATCTCCGTAGAAGCAAAAACTGTGCCGTTGTCGCTCACGATAGTATCTGGTACTCCGAATGTAGCGAAGAGTTGTCGTAATTCTCGGATTACTACAGCTGAGCTCGGAGATGAAACTCTTTTTACCTCTAACCATTTTGTTGCTGCATCCACCGTAATAAAGAACGTTTGTTCTTCAATTGGACCTGCAAAATCAACATGCAGGCGACTCCATGGTTTCTTCGATGACTTCCACTGTTCCGTAGGAGTTTTTGCAGGTGCGGATTGTACTTCCATACATGCTTTATAGTTCTTGACTAATAATTCGATGTCTGTATCAATTCGAGGCCACCATGCGTACGACCGTGCAGCAGCTTTTAGTGCCACAGATTCCGGGGTGATTTCCATGCAGATATTCGAGGACGATCTGTCTTAAATCTCCCGGTACGATTACTCGAATGCTCCATAATATACATTTCTTGTATAGTGACAGCTCTTGTCGTTTAGTCCAAAACTGCTTAAATTCCAATGTCACTTTTGCAGGCCAGCCTTTTCTTAGCCATTGTTTTACTTGGCGTAGCGTCGGATCAGTTTTTGTCTGTTCAGCTATCTCTTGTACAGTAATTAGTTTTTTTATGTGCGTTTTCGATCATCACTTCGCCGAAAATTTTTTCATCTTCTTCGATGACGTCACCGAGAGGCAAACGTGATAAAATGTCAACGTTTCCATTCTTCTTCCCCGGCCTATACACGAGATCGTAATCGTACGCACTCAGTGTCGTCGCATATCGGTTAGATTCCGATAACCTTGGCGCTTTAATTTGACAATGGTTTCTGGTAGTACTTTTAATGCTGAACAAAAAATTATATAGGTCTTATAGGGCTAACTGCTCTGGTTTTCGAGATATATAGTGTTAAAGTTGGTAAAATTTTAGATTAAGGGCGACCGATTTCAATGACCTTGATATAAATTGTCGATATGAAACGAGGTGCCACACGGGTTTAGAACTTTTCACGCGTAAGAACCCGACGCATGTACTTTGAAGGCACACTATGTGTCTAATTTGACAATAATGGAGCTCCCCGCAGAGACCCCCGCGGAACCTACTGCCTCCACGCATACACTTTCTACGCGAAACGTCGAGGTGTCACGAGGTGTCACTTTTTAATATCTTAACTATTCTCTGCTATATAACAAATTATTTCTGTTACAGATATTAAATATTTTTACACAATGCAACTTTTCATACGAAGCGACGAAAGAATAAAACGGGTTTTTAACTTTTCACGCGAACCGAGGTTCACCCTCACCCCCCTGCTTGCGGTAGCCCCTCCCCCGCCTACGTGTGTACTACACATAATTGAAGTATTATTTAAAAATTCATATTATTTATTTTTAACTTTAACACTGTATATCTTGAAAACCAGAGCGGTTAGCCCTATAAGACCTATATAATTTTTTGTTTAGCGTTAAAAGTACTACCAAAAACCATCGTCAAATTTAGGCGTCAGGGTTATTGGAATCTTGCCCGCATATCTCTTTTGTTTGAGGGAGATAATTTCAAGCGTTGCCCTACGAGGGTCGAATATTCCCAAAAGGGGCTTGTGATCCGTTACGAGCATAAACTTTCTACCTGCTATGTACTGGTAAAAGTGTCGTACTGCTTGTATCAAGGCGAGTGCTTCCCGATCCAGTTGCGAGTACCTCCTTTGTGTTTGAGACATCGTCTTTGAGAAGAATGCTACTGGATGTTCTTCTCCATCTTCTCCAATGTTGGCCAGGATTGCTCCAATTCCAGTCGGCGATGCGTCCGCGGCAACTATTATCGGTCTGGCTTCATCGAAGTGGCACAAAATTGGTGCTGAAATTAGTTGACTTTTTATCTTAATGAAAGCCTCTTCGTGGACGGTTTTCCACGGCCACGGTGTGTTTTTGTATAACAATCGATGAAGCGGTTCAGCGATTGTAGCTCTGTCTCTTAGAAATCTTCCGTAGAAGTTTAATCCTCCTAAGAAAACTTGCAACTTCTTGACGCTTGTGGGCGCTGACATTTTCTAAATAGCGGCGATCTTGCTCTTCAGAGGTTGGATACCATGTTTTGAAATTTGATACCAAAGAAACTCCATAGATTTTACGCCAAAATCACACTTTTCCAGATTAATGCGGAGGTTTGCGTCTTCTAGTCGTTTAAGGGCTTACACCTGAGTAAAGTGACCATATTTTGGGAATTTTTTTCTCAGGAAATAATTGCTTTATTCAAAAACTTTTTTTTCTGTTAAAAAGAGCATGTATTCTAGTACGTTTGTGAATTTTTTAATTAAAATTTATCTACAATAAATATTGTTTATTGGCGTCAGCGTAAGCCCCGTTTTTTTGCGGTGTTCACCATTTTGGGTTGTCACGTCATCTGGAACAAAAATATGCATTAAATTCCTAATTAGTGATATAGAAGACAGTTAGCTACGAACAAAAAAAAATTAAAAAAAAAAATTCGAAAAATGGCGGCTGTTTGAAATTTGAAGTCGATTTTTGACTTATTTTTTCGAGTTACCAATGCATTTTTTAAACTTTTGTAACAAAAAATTTATAAAAGTTTGATTGTAGCTAATTAGACAAAGCATCCAAGAATATCGTGTCCAAATTTCAAAAAGATCTATCGATCCGTTCTCGAGATATCGTGAACACCGTTTTTTAAAACCATGTTTCGAGAAAAACGCGTTTAAAGTTTGAGAAGAGATTTGGATATCATTAATTGTTTATAATGCTATAACTTGAAAACGACTCGTCTTACGAAAAAAATGCAAAAGACAAAAAAGTTTTATTTTGACTCGAAAATATTAATAATAATTTAAAAAAAATTTTTTTTGTTAATTAACAATGAAATTGTTTAAAAAAATTTTTTTTTTTAATTTTATCTTTAGTCGGCAATTCCGGGGCCATATAATAGTTATTTGTGTAACAAGTGCGGGAAGTTGAAAATTGGACACGAGTGCGGAGTGGACGCACGAGCCGAAGGCGAGTGCGACCACCCGCACGAGTGTCCAATTCTCATCCCGCACGTGTTACACACCCTATTTTATATTACAAAGTGCGTGGAAAGTGGCCCATTATTGCGCGCGCGTCATCTGTGCGACGGATGGCCGATTCCATACACGAGTCAAAACAGTGCGGTAATGTTACATTACCGCACTGTTTTGACTCGCGTATAGAATTGGCTATTTGTCGCACAGATGGCGCGCGCGTAATGGGCCACTTTCCAGGCACTTGCAACATAAAATAGGGAGTGTAAGCCGTGTGTAAAGATGAAAATTCCCGGGTGCGGAGTTTACGCACGAGCCGAAGGCGAGGAATTTTCATCCCGGGAATTTTCATCTTTACACACGGCTTACACTCCCTATTTTATGTTGCAAGTGCCTGGAAAGTGGTCTATCACGCACGCGTAGCGTGCGTAATGGAGCACTTTCCATGCACGTGTTGCATAAAAGTACTTCCCACACGACGCATTGCCAACACTCTCCTTACTTTTTTCAATCCGACGCTAGCCACGCTATTGAACGGAGATTTTCATCCAATAGCGTGGCTAGCGTCGCCACATCTCCGTCCAAAAGCGTGGCTAGCATCGCCACACTCGCATGTTCTTAACGACATCTCGCGGCGCACTACGCGAAATACTACGCGTGTTTCCGTGCGCTGCGAGATGTCTACGCGAATTACCACAGATTAATAGACAGATAGCCAAAGGTCCGGGTTGAGACGAGACCAGCATTTCTCACTGGTTTCAGCGCCATACCGTGTAGTGGCCAATGCAGTAACTACGTTCTTAAGATAAAGCGGGTCATTTTCGGACGAAGTCGCTAACAGTCGAAAAGTCGCGTTGTTAAGGCTATTTGGTATTTATTTAGAATACGGGCCTGAACGCAAATATAGATAAAATTATGTTCAATCGACGCGTTTTTGCACGAAATGAAAGAATCTGACAGATAAACGCGGCGGTCTGCCTCGCGAAGCGAGATATTAATCGTTAAAGTTGACGACTATTCGGGTTAGAAAATCTGACATATCGAAGAAATGCAGCGATACGAGCACAGAACATATACTGATACGAGTGGATACGAGTGTGGGCACGTGTGTGTGCCCTGCTTTAACAAAAATCACAACCACGGTCGTGAATACAGGTCTGGAAACTCTAGTAGTGGGGGGTGACTCGCTTAGTGAAGTCATTTTATGTAGTTGACACTATCACCACCTGGAGCGCTGGAGGTTAGAGATTTTTTAAATAACGCAAATACATATTGAATATATTGATATATAACATATAACATGTGACATATGACATATGACATATGACATATGTCATATATAACATATTACATATTGACATATTGAATGTAACGAACGTACGAAGTCCTAGAAAGTGATTAAATTAACAACAATGAAATTAACGAAATATTGTGTCGTGCCGAATTGCAAGACTGGGTGCAAAAGTCTGAAAGTAAATTGTTCAGTTTTTAAAATGCCAAAACGTGACAAATTGCGTAAAAAATGGATATCCGCAATCCCTGGCATAAAGGACCTGAAACCCAATCAACTTGTATGTGAATAGCATTTTGATAAAAAATGCATAATAAGGAATTTCGTAATGCGCGATGTATAAGCAAATGTCCTAGCCGAGGTAAGCTCAGTTATAAAAAAAATATTCTGTCACATTAAAAGAAACTTTAATAATATATCCAGGGATTGGCAAAAAAATTTCCATTTTTCAGTAATTAAGTTATTTATGTTGAACCAGATAATTTTTTAATAATTAATAATTTACCTGAGACTAAATTCATTATTGAGAAAATTAGTAATTATTTTTCACTAATTATTAATTTTCTAATAATTTCTAGTAATTTATTTCGACAAACTATTAATTATTTTAATAATGAAAAATTTATGTTTACTAATTACCAATTTGTAAATAAAAATTAATTATAAATTTATTATTATTTCATCCACATTTGAACTCATTTAAAACGTTGAAAACTTATTTACAAAACTCGCTGCTTTTTGCATATACTATATTTTCTATCTTACATTTATTATAAAAATATTGTATTTTGGTTA